TGGAACAGGATAAGCTTTAAGGTCCCTTCCAACCCAAAGCTTTCCAGGTTTCTCCAGTTTCTCATGGCAAGAAGCTGGGATCAGGGTTCACTTGCCTCTCGTTCATTATCCCCTGCCCTGCACAGCTGCTGACTTGGGGGGAAGAATTAAAAACAAAACACCCCAAACTCCTCATAAATCCCAAACAAAGCACCATCCAAAACATGTGAAAGCAGGTGACCTGCTCCTTCCCCTCATCCTCCTCGTTGGGATGGCTTCTGTGTTATGGCTGCAGTTCTTGTCATCCCAAAGGGGTTGGTCTCAGCTGAGGATGAAATGCAGAAATAAAGGAGCCAAAACCATAATGAGAGCGCTGACTGATCCAGGCTCACACCAGAACAACCTGCTTGGGGAAAATAATTCCTCTTGTTCTAGCAAATAGGAGGGACATTTGACCCCAGAAGTGAGTCAAATGTGAAATGTAATTCAACCCCAACAGAGGCCAGAGTATAAATGCAACTTGACATCTGATCAAACCATCGCAGACATTTGACCCCCGAGATGAGTGAGGTATCTCTTGTGTCTCATGGAGTTGGCAGAGCATCATTCCTCACCCCTGTCAATTTTCTTTCTTTCTTTCCCACTCCTCTCCCCAAACAAAGACAAGGAAATAAGTAATGCAAAAAAATCCCAAGGAATGGGCAGATTCCCAACCACATGATGTGCTCTGAAAGATGAGCAAAAATGCAATGGTGCTGGCAAAAGAAATAAAAACACACACAAAGTCAGTAGGAAAAGACATTTATCAAGGCCTTTTGTGATAAGGACAGTAACACTAGGAAAGGGAAAGACTGGGAAATTCCACATGTCGTTGGACAGGAATGAGGTTGGTTTAATTTGGCATCAAGACTTTTGCACTTGTGGGAAGAGTCCACGGGTGCTTTATAAAAATGGATTAACTACAGCTGGGAATACCCTGCAAGAAGGTGTCATCCTATCACATTCTGGGTGAATAAATGCAGGAGGTGCCTTGCTGGGGAGCTGGGGGTGATGTGATGAGGGTGTGGGAACTGCCAGGCCCTGGCACAGCTTTGGATACTGTTGTCCCTTGGCTTGTTGGGAGTAGGGATGTGACTCTACCCAGTCCATGGGGGGACGTTTTGGAAAGCTTTAGGGTGGTGTTTGTCATATTTGTCCTCTCTCCATGAATATCTCTGGCTGCTGGCAGGGCAACGGGCAGCTTGGAAGGAGGAAAGAGCTGAGTATTTATCAGTGGACAGTTTGGATCCTGTGCTCTGACTAATCCCAGGAGCTTTCAGTGGGCAGCTTATTCCAGCTGAGCGATCTGCCTGTTTCTGTACCAACAAGTTAATTTGTGTGATTCCTCATGGAAAGCTGTTAAACATCACTATGGTTTGTTCAGGCCAGGGAGATGCATCGGCATAAACAGCTCTGGGCTTTCAACAGTCCTTAACAGTCCCTTCCAACCCAAACCATTCTGGGATTCTGAGACTGAAAAAGCAGGATTTCACCCAACCCTGGTGGGACACCTGATGCTGATGGTGTCAGGTGTCTCACCTGGAGTGTAGAGCAGCAAAAAGGGCTTTAATTTGGGCTGTGGGCCTTAGGGCAAGACTGGGTAACTTGTGAACGGGGCTGCTCACACTCAGAAGGTAAATCCAAGGGCATAAACACATTTGTGTGGGGCAGCACGTGTGTGGAATAGAAGGTGGGTTTTCTCTGGCTGTGTGTGAATCAGGGAGCCCCAGTGAGTGCAGGGGTTCTGCTGACACCCCGGGGGAGATGGAGTTGAGAGGGGTGGTATTTGTGATGTACACACACACACACAGAGCATCTGTCTTGATGTGCTCCTGTATAAATGCCAGCGTGGGGTTAGACACGCCTGCCCCTCCCCGCACACGTGAAATCCATCTGTGGCTGTACCTGTGTGCTTGGATGTGTATAAATCAACATTTATCTACTGTAT